GAATCTGTGGCAAAGCAGAGGAAACAGAGCAGTTTGTTGCTGATGGCTTAATCTGGGAGCGTTTTCCAGGGAAAAGAGCGATAGAGTAATGAATAAAGGATTTGTGTGCAAATGAGGATGGACAGCTGAGCTCCTCCTGTGCAGTTCTCACCTCTGTGTCTCAGAGAGCCCACAGCATACAGATGGCACTGCTAATTACACTGCAAAGTGAGAGGGTCAGCTCGTGCTTCCTCATGCTCCAGAATCAAAACTGAAATGATGCAATGTTAATGTTTGTGTCGGGATTCTTGCTAAATGCATCTCTGGCAGGTTTATGTTTAGACGCAAAATGGCGTCTTTACATCATGTAGTAGGAGAGGCGTGTTTTCATATGGCTGCTCTAGTTAAACCTCATTTTTTGTTGAAAAAGAACTAACTGTGGAAACCAACACAACATCACACTCACTATTGGTTATAATATAGAGATTGATTGATTGGGAACATGAGTGGGACGTATGGTACTAGCAGACCAGCTTTGTGTTGCAACTATAAGTATGGATAAACAAAAATCACATTGGTGTCATGATCCACACCTGTTTGTGCTTTGGCTGATTGAACTCGCTTGTTTACAGCTGATCCCTGTGGTATTTAAGGGTTTTTCTGCTTCACTGGTCTTGTTGTTCAGTTTGTCTTCATCCTTGGTGTTCCCTTGGAGGTGATTATTATGCAGTTTATTAAATTGTGAACTCTTCTCACATGTCCCGTTACCGCCACAAAACATGACCGCATGACCAGACCAACCAAACGACAAGGTAACTGGGCTTGAAATGATCACGGTGTATGAATATTTCCATCATCAGCTGTCGAAGACTTCTCACTGGGCTGAAAGGAGGAGGAGCACTGATTGCCATTCAATAGTGCCATTAGAAATGTCTATTAAGATTTGCTTCATTTAGCTATTATGTGATTACTTGACTAAATAAAACCAATTAATTGATGATAGCAAAGTAATTTAATTTTGTTGCAACCCTGAGTTTACTGTTCTGGTTACATTACATTGCACATCATCCGTCATTGTGTAGTGTGTATGAATGACAACATTGTGTGCAAAAGGCTTTGCAGCAAAATGTACATCCATTTCAGATTTACGCAACACTGGTTATTTACTAGGAACTGCAAATTTCATTAACGTTTTCAATGGAAGAAATATTGTTGTTTTAAACGCATTTTCGTCTGGGTTCTGTGTACTGTGACTGTAAGCAAGGATTGCCTGTCAGTTTATGGCTGTTCATTACTAGCTTTTATTATAAAGTTTTACAACTCTGTTTTTCGGAGGAAGAAAGTCACACACACACACACACACAAATCAGTTTATCTTAGAAGGGCTTTTGAGTCTAGAAATAGTACTTGAAAAGTGACCAAAATAGATTACTGCAGCCACCAATGCCTGGAGTATCTGAGCATAAGCATATAAAGTCACCATACTGTTTTCTTATTCTTATTTATCAATCTTAGGGAGGCAGAAAGGAACCAACAGTTGAAATTTGTAACTAATTAGGACACAAGGAACAACAAAAGTATGTTTTTAAAGCACATTTGATTCAATTTTTGACTTTTCATAGGTGTGATCTAGTCATCAAATGAAACTTCTTAACAATGAAGGAACAGGTCATCAAAGAATATCAACAATCTATGAAATGTATGGAATAGTGCTCTCATATAAAATTATACTGTTTTTTTTTTACATAACACATATGGACAGAGAGTTCTCGGCTGAAATCCATATTATAATAAATGATAAATAAATATTGTAGGCACAGAATAGATATACAAAATAATCAGAGAAACGTGGGGAGACTCGAGTTTTAATCAACGATCAACACAGGTCTTGTTTTCAACAGCCATGTATTCTGGACATGTCTTTTTAAAGTCCCCAAAAATGCCGTCAGAACTAAAAAAAGTAACACAAACCTAAATTAGTTCACAAAATTGGAGTATTTACATAAATAAAAGATACAACTTTTATTTAGCTCATTAGCCGCAGTAACTCCAGAGAAATAAAGCTAAAATCAGCTTCTCCAGCTAGATTGCCCCATGCGGCTCTAAGTGCGCAGACAATATTTTCCCCGGGCAACAGGGACGAAACGGAAGTTCCCCCTCACATTCGAATGTAACCAAAACCAATGAGCATCAACATAAAATTGCTAAAAACTATTACACACTTATAACTTAATGTTTTGTATTAAATAAAATGTAACTACTGCCACCTTAAACCAAACAAAAACAGTAAACCAATTGCAGTGGCCTTGATGACGGCTACACAGACTAAAAAAGAGATGTTAGGAGGTATGAAGATTTAGTGCATCAGACTTCTTAACATATTACATAAAAAAAAAATACTATGTTGAAACAAATCCTGATATAACCTGTTACATGATTACTACATCACAGGAACCAACATTGGTTATGCTGAAAGGTGAAGTGAAGTTTCTGGGCCGTGTGAGTCGGTGGACGCTTGGGGCACTGCTGAGAAAGCTGCCACATGTGAAGCCGAGTCAGGCTTCATCAGTCAACGCCGCGGCTCCTGAACGCTACTGAGAGGTAGTTCTCCAATTTAAATTAAACTCACGCTGACTCCCATTTCCTTTCCAGCCCTGCTCGAGATTTCATCTGTATCTCCTAAGTCGAGTCCTTAGGAAATAACGGTGAATATTTGGTCATGAATGTTGTTTTTGTGAGCAAAGTTCAACAGGTACACCAGTTTGAACTTGGAACTGCCCAGTAAGGGGTATCTAATCAGAAAATCTGACGATTATTATAGAATTTAAAGTATTGTTGTAACAATAAATGAAAAAAACAAACTATTTTAGCTTTGACTGTNTTTTTTGACGGTAGACAACGAAATTGGTGAATTACCGCCCCCGATTGAACAGGAGTGTGGACAGGGCGTAAACAGGGGGATAAAAATAACGTCGTATTAATTCATGAGTCTTTAATTTGAGACAAAAAGTAGTCCAAATCATATAGAAAATAAATGATCAAATCATGTAATTCCAATAGGTTTTTTTTAAAGCCAAAATATGTGTTGCAGTTGTCAGAGCTTTTATTGTGAAGTTGTTTGATACGTCCAAGCGGCACATAAATTTATACATAACATTCCTCAGCAAAGCATGAAAAGTTAGCATGTTACTCATGACAAACATTTGACTTGAATCTGTTCATCGTGGAAATCTGAAGAGAATTCGGAAAGTGTCTTGATTGATGACTTGTAGTTTCTTCATTATATATAAACTGTAGTTACACCACAGGTGAGCAATATAAAACGTGGTGCAATAAGTTCCAAAAAGGAACACTTTCACCTCATCTGCACACCTGCTAAATTTTAGTGCCAAAACATGAGCTTACACACAGGAAGGAAAAGTTATGTTAATCCCAAAGGCCCTTGACTGACGGGCGTTAATTTTTATACAAGTAGAAAAAAAATGAGGGCCTCTATCAATCATATCATTTTTGTAATGTTTTTAGGAGTAAAAGATTAAAAGTTACCATTCCCAGATCAAAAAGTAAAGATCCATATTTACTGAACAGCCATGTGGATGTGCATTTAATTGAATTTGAATTTAACAGTGTTCAGCAGCAGCAAAGAAAAAAAGAAAGGAGATAATTTTCTTTAATAAAGCAGATGTCTTAATGTTCAAAAGGAAGTGGGTCCAATAAAATATTGAAAAGGCTGCCCTAAAATGGAGATCTATTCATTACTGCTCAAACTGTGCATATAGGCAAACAACTGGAGGGATGAGATTATCTCAGCCAAAGACTACAACAACTGTGAGAGTTGAACTATAGAGTCAAGAAAATAACAGTCACATTGTCAAATAGAAAAAACGAAAAGAGAACAAGACAAATGAAAGTGTGTCTCTTTATAAATTGATGCTTTTAGCTCCAAGTGTGCTTAGCAGTTACCAAGAAAATGAGAGGGGAGGGAACAACACGAGGCACAGGAGTGAAACTTTTTGTCAAGTCTCTTTGTAGAAAGAGAGATGATGAGAACAAAGAAGCAATTTTATATCCATCATTTTATTAATAAGCTCATTTTTATTTACTGCTGATTGATTTGTTTCTCGTGGAAACCCTTCTCAAATGTATGACTTTTCTTGTGATGATTTAAGTGACGAAGACGAGAGAATTTCTTTCCGCATGACTGGCATGAAAAAGGTCTCTCACCTGTATGAATATTCTTATGGTAATTTAGATAACTAAATTGAGAGAAACTTCTTCCGCATGATTGGCATGAAAAAGGCCTCTCCCGATTTAAATCACTAATGTCAGAGAAAGTTTTCCCACATGATGGGCATGATTTTTCTTGTGACGATTTAAATTACTTAATTGAGAAAAACTTTTTCCGCATGATTGGCATAAAAAAGGCCTCTCACCTGTATGAATTCTCTTGTGCACTGTTAAACTACTACTTTGTGAGAAACTTTTTCTGCACAACTGGCATGAAAAAGGTCTCTCATCTGTATGAATTCTGTAATGTTTTTTCAATGTTCTCTTTCGTGTGTAACGTCTCCCACAAATGTCACATTTGAAAGGTCTTTTCTTTGTGCCAGTATCAGACTGACTCTCTGACACAGAGGAGCTGCTTCCTTCCTGATCTTTGCTCTCAACCACTGGAGAGACACGAAGGGAAAGCTGCTCTGTTCTTGTCTCTTCTTCATTCACATCATCTCCCTGAAGAGTAGAAGTCTCAATCAAAGCAACAAACTGCTTCTGGACAAGCTGCTCTCCCTCCTGACTGCTGCAGAGGTCCTTCTGGTCCTGTCCAGTTGGTAAATGTTCTGGTGGCTGCTGTTCATGTTGAAGCACTGAAGAATCTAGCTCCTCTTTTCTTACATATGTTAGTGGATATTCTATTTCCTCATGTTTGAGCAGTGTAGGTTCTGGTTCCTCCTCTTCTTTTTTAATCCAATTAGGTTCTGGTTCCATCTGTTCCTCTTCAGTCCACTGATGTTCTGCTTCTTTCTGGTCCTGATTGGACCTACTTGCCAGGCTCCAGACTTGTTGGATGGCAAAATCTTCCTCCTCATTGGAGACACTTGGCTGTTGGAGGTCTGTGGAAAAAAAGGATGACGTCATTAATATAATTTAATTGATGACTATCTCATGGATCAGTCTGGTTTTTCCTGGGGATTCTGGTCTGTAGACATCATATGGTTAATCTAAAATTAGTTTGTAGATTTTAACTAAAAAGCGGTGAAGTGTCCTTCATATTAATTTGCTGATATGGCAAAAATGTTAAAAAGATTTCAAATACATTCAGATTTTAATCAAGAAGTACAGTTTCATGCAGATTTTTATTTACAATCAAATGTTTAACTTTAGGGAATTCATAAAGTGAAGAACTCAAAATACTTTAAGACAATATGTTTTTAATCTCACTTGTAACGTCTAGCCTCACTTTTTAAAGTTGATCAGACTGTGCAGGAATTTAATTTAGTAAAACATGACATTCTGGTTTTCTGGGTTATAAATATGATGAGACATAGACTTGTTTCTCTAAGCCACTATTCAAAAAAGAAAGACATAATTTCCTTCAGTAAGGCAGATGTGTTGATGTTCAAAAGGAAGTGGGTGAAAGAAAAAAGCAATAATGAAACTTATTCATTATTGCTTAGATTTTCTTTTAGGTTAGTAACTGAATGTGTGAGAGATGATGCTGGATGAGTTTATCTCAACACCAAACACTGAGGAGGATGGTGGTGACAGTCAACACATCTCCAGGTCTCTTTAAGAGAACTGCAGCTTAGAGGAACATCCTGGAGTCATCAGTTCTCCATAGCAACCATCAGACACTATGAAAACTGGATGTTTGGGAGAAATAACACAAATAAATAATTTCCTGTAATCACTGTTGGAATCATCTGATCCATTGAACTTGACTATGTCCCACACAACAAATGTGCAGCAAAAGAGATATTTCATTAAACACATTTGAGAAATATAGATTTGGAGTTGTGTGCATGTTTCTACTTTGACACAGTTTGCCATTCCCCTGTAGATCTGGTCTGGGTCCCTGAACTGAAGGGATAACAGTAAATCATTATTCAACAATTTTTACTATAACTAATTGATCCCTTAGCAGCTAAGGGATCAATTACTTATTTTGTTCTGTGCCCCAATGAAAAAAAACAAAGCTCATTCTGCGCCTCTCCTTCTCATTCATAATACTCTCCACTGCTCTTATTTGCAAAATCATGTGTGACTTTACAAATTCAGAATTTACACGCTGTATTTCGTATTTCCACCATAACAATTGGAGTAATATATTAGTCATGGGGCTTGGCTCATAAACACGATTTCTCTTTGTGCTACCATGTTCATGCTAGCCTCTGTAGCATCAGAGCTAGCAGCTAAAACAGTTCCTGTTCAGCTCCGTTTAGCAGCAGCTGGAGCTGCAGCAACTATCGCCGCTGACGGATCTCTGTCTGCAGTGAAAACATCAGCACCTTTATCCAGACCTACCAGAACTTTGTCTCTGCAGCTCCGAACCGACTCTGTGTAGCTTAATTTGTGGTTTCCAGTCGATCCCCATCATCCTGCGCTGAGCATCGAGCTCTTCCTCGTAGCAAATGATGGTTTTTTCAACCTCTGTGAAGATTTCTTGAGCAGCAGCAGTTAGTCGCTCTCTGATAAACTCTCTGAGATGCTGAATTGAAGACATGGTTGCTGAAATATTAGACGAAATGGGTCAATGCAGCAGTTTTCTAGCTTAGCCCATGAAGGCGTCTTTTTCGATGTTTTGTGGCGGTTGGCAAACAAGGAAATACGTTCAATACCGCCCCCGACTGAACTGGAGTGTGGACAGCCGAAAAATATGGAGTGAAAATAGTCTCAAAATATCTGTGCGTGTGTAAAAGTATATCTGCGTATGTAAAAGTATTTGTGCGTGTGTAAAAAGATTTGTGTGTGTGCCAAATATGCCCATCAGATACTGTAGGAGCCATTTCTCTATTTTCAGTTAAATCTTAGAATTTAAATGGTTTAGTTTCTTATTTTTTGTTCATTTTCTAGTTGATTTATCATTATAATTTTTGTTTAATTTGTTATTTAGAATAAGTTATTTGGTTAGTAATTCACTTAAATTAATTTCAGATTGGGACATGGGTGTTTCACAGTATAAATAGGTGGGTCTTAGGTAGCTTATTATGCACGTGGGTGGTCACAAAGTTTTTTACCAGTCAACAGTCACTTCAGTCATTTCAGTCAATGGAAACAACCAGTCACTAGTCTCAGTCAGTCATCAGTCAGTCTATTAGCCAGAGAACAGGTGCAGAAATCAGAGCAGGAGAAGCAGAATCCTGGGAAGCCTGTAACTTTTTTGCCTGAACTATGGAATAAAAACAACCAAAGAACTGCATTTTGACTTTTGTTCTTTTTGGGCTGCGTAAACCAGAATCAACGGTGCATCAGGTGACTATTTGAGTTAGATTCACCTTTTGTTTTGATCACCTTTGAGTTTTGAGTTTTTTGATTTTTGAGTTTAAGTTTTTACACAAGGGGAATGGTATCTGATGGGTGAAGATTAAGTAGACACCATAACATCTACCAACAGAGCAGGTTAACTACTGTAGTTGTTTGAAAGGTGTCTTGGTCCAGTTGACGGCTCAGTTTGAAGCTTGAGGGTTTGGTGTTGAACCTCCCAGAATCTCAGCTGTTGCAGATTGTCTGAAGATGCAGAAAAAGTACAAATAGACAGTTAGTGTTAGAAAAAAAATTATGTTGATTTTCTTGAACAGCTGATGCACTGACAAACCTGACTGTGACAGAACATTACTGAACCTGAAAATTACTTGAATCATCACAATGTATGTAGAAATTTTTCTTTTTATGTTTATGAAATGTTCATGCATTAATTTTTTTGCTGTGAAGCCTATTTTTGCAGTGGTGCTTTAAATAAATGCATAAAATATTTATTTTCTTAAGTATGTGTTTATTAACTGTCAATTGTGTCAAAATATCAACTGAGAAAGAAATTCATTGCTTGCGAAAATCTAAACCATCTGAATACATTTTACCATCTACATTAATCAACTTGAAATGAAGACAAACGGGAACAGCAAGTTTGTCCTGGTTTGCAGATGAGGTATATATTTCTTTAAGGGCCGATGAAATGGGGTGTCTGTGGATTTCAGAGATCCAGACACAAACACAGTTTAATCTGAAGATTCTGAAGGATGTGTGAATAGGTCTGTCACCATGAAAATTGTTACTGTAGGATAAGGTGTTCCAGAAGTTCTCAACAAATGATAATATAGTTCTTTTGAGACCATTTTTTAAGTAATATAATGGTAATGACGAAATAATAATGCAATAGCTCATTCTCAAAGGTCATTAAACTTTAAATTCTAATGAACATTTAACACTGGAAATGGAAGACATTTTAATATCCAGAATAAATAAAGCAACTAATGAATTTTGAAGTCTTTTAAACAAAATTGCCTTTTAAAATAAGGTCTCGTTGAGACCAAAGTACCAAACTGAAGACTTTTATCATCCAGTTTTTGGTAGAAAGAGAGAAAAACAGAGAAACGATAAATAAAGCCAATGGATGGAGATGATTGAGTTTGTAAAAACGCTAGACTCAGAGCAAAACTCAGATGACCCAGCTTTCTACCAGCATGTAAACGCACCATCTACACACAAATCTGGGAACTTCCCGAAGCGTCAAGAGTCTCAAAAATACTCGTGCACTCGTAACTGGATCTGTGTGTAAATGCAGTTTTGTGTGTGTGTGTACCAGGTGACTTGTGTATACTTTTTCAACATAGGCGTAGGAGAACGTTCATTTTATTTTTAAGGTTTACAAATCTAGTATTACACACACACAAATATCTTTACAGATGAACAAATCTTATTACACACGCACAAATCCTTTAAAACAGGTACAAATACTTTTACATACGCACAAATATTTTTACACACGCAGATATTTTGAGACTATTTACACTTCATAAAAAAACAAGTTAAAGAAACAACTTCATATTAATTCATAAATATTTATTACGAGACAAAAAGTAGTCCATGCAATTTAGAAAAGTCAAATACAAAAATCATCAAGTAAAAAAACATCACAAGGCCGATAAACAATGACTCCAATAGTTAAAGTTAGAAATATCTAATATCACCATATGATGCAGTTGTCAGAGCTTTTATTGTGAAGTTGTTCGATACATCCAGTCTGTACATACATCTTTACATGAAATTCCTCAGCAAAACATGAAAAGCTGGTATGCTACTCATGACAAACATTTGACTTGCAGATGTTCAACGTGGAAATCTGAGGATTCTGAAAGCGTCCTGATTGGCTACTTGCAGTTTCTTCATTATAGTTTTACTGTAGTTACACCACAGGTGAGCTACATAAAACACCATGCAACATGTTTCAAAAATGAACACTTTCACCTTATCTTCACACATGCTAAATTTCAGTGCCAAAATATTAGCTTGCATACAGGAAGGACAAGATTTGATAATCCCAAAGGCCCTTGACCAACAGGGGTTAATTTTTATATAAATAGAAAACGCGTTCCCAGACTGCTCGCTCCTCCTCACTGGGCTTTATACTACTCTCTGTGGTAGGAGACAAGGAGCCCGGCAGGTAACTGAAGTAATGGTCGTGTGAAGTCACAGCGGTAAGAGGGAGGCGCTTCTCCCTCTTACGGAGATTGCGTGGTGAGGCGACAGTCGCTAGCTCTCATCCAGCCAAGACAAAGACATAATTAGGTCATGTGACATTTCTAGCTCTTACATGCGGGATATACAAGTTATGTCACAAAGTTGAAAACTTTTTATCTTTTGTTGCTGTCGTTGATATAATATGCCATGTGATGGGTTCAGTCAGAGTTGAAGAAAACTGACGCTTTTAGCTCCAAGTGTGTTTAGCCGTTACCAAGAAAATGAGAGGGGAGGGAACACGAGGCACAGGAGTGAAACTTTTTGTCACCTCTTTGTCAGTCTCTTTGTAAAAAGAGATGATGAAAACAAAGAAGCAATTTTATATCCATCATTTTATTAATAAGCTCATTTTTATTTACTGCTGATTAATTTATTGTTTCTCGTGGAAATCCTTCTGAAATGTATGACTTTTCTTGTGACGATTTAAATGATAAATTTGAGAGAAATTCTTTCCGCATGACTGGCAAGAAAAAGGTTTCTCACCTGTATGACTTTTGTTGTGACGATCTAAGTGACTAAGTCGAGAGAAATTCTTTCCGCATGACTTGCATGAAAAAGGCCTCTCACCCGTATGAATTTTCTTGTGGTCATTTAAATGACTAAATCGACAGAAACTTTTTCCACATAAGTTGCATGAAAAAGGCCTCTCACCTGCATGAATACTACTATGGCAATTTAAAGAACTAAATTGAGAGAAACTCTTTCCGCATAACTTGCATGAAAAAGGCTTCTCACCTGTATGAATTTTCTTGTGACGATTTAAATTACTAATTTCAGAAAAACTTTTTCCGCATGATTGGCATGAGAAAGGCCTCTCTCCTGTATGAATTCTCTTGTGACGATTTAAATTTCTCATTATGGAGAAACTTTTTCCGCATGTTTCACATGAAAAAGGTTTCTCACCAGTGTGGGTTCTGTAATGGTTTTTCAAGTTATACTGTTGTGTATAACATCTCCCACAAATGTCACATTTGAAAGATCTTTTCTTTGTGCCAGTATCAGACTGACTCTCTGACACAGAGCAGCTGCTTCCTTCC